GATTTTTACAAGCAGACCAATGATGACCATCACAAGGAAAACAGTCAGACCACCCAGAATCACACCCATCAGGTTTGTATTTTTATCAGACGTCTCTGCAACAAATGAACAATTTGAGTGAATGTTCTCTTCCGTGGCTTGTGATCTTGCTAGCATATGAGGAAGTCAAAAAAATTTTACTTTGAGACGTGCAGTCGTTGTCATCAAATTTACTGTCGCCTGAAATGAAGGGAAATAGTGTGCAGCTGTCACTAAAATTCTGAACATACTTTTTCACTGTGAGATAAAATTAACAGTTAAATCACAGAATGGAAAGATATAATTAACTTTAAATCTTGACTTGAAGATACAAGTATATTAGCCTGACATTTGAGTGTGAATTTGTGTAAAAGCCACAATATTACAGTCCAGAATCTGATAAATCTACTGGTCTGACTTTGAGATAGACAGTAGCAGTTTTGGAGCTCATTTATGATGATTCATTTTGAAATCCCTCGTAGTGTGAGACACACAATTAAAACGACACAAAGCACTTGACAAGAATCTTACCTTGAACCTTTAAATACGTTGGACTGACCAATGCTGAGACTCCATATGGACAACATCCACAGAAGTAGAGTCCAGAGTCAGATACATCCACACTTTTGATCTTCAGAAAGAGGTTTGTGATGTTGGATGTCATTATGAAGTTTCCATTTTGAAATCCATTCCAGAGCGAAGCTTTGCTATCAGAGTTGAACATAGATGAGATACTGCTGATATTGGGTCCATTGGTCATTCTGAACCAGAATATGTTCATGGCCGAACTACTATAGTTGTTACACATCAGTGTGACTTCTTGAGCAGGCTGAACCTCCACAGTGAGAAACTCAGAAACTGAGACAGAGATCCAACCTGAAGGAAACAATGGATTCATGAACTTCTCATTCAAACATTAATCAATTATGTTTAATTAATATACAGAAAGAAAGCCAGCAGCTGTAGTGAGAAACAAAATGATCTATGTACTTACTGAAGGTGCAGAGTAAAGCAGCTATGAAGGTAAAGTTCCCCATGGTGTGTACAGTACGACTCCACCACATCAGTGTTTGTAACTGAACTGTGCTTCAGTAGGAGTGACCTGAACGTTAAGAGGTGGGCTGGACTTATATTTATGCGCCTGCTCAGACTGACACTGTCAATGCTGGTAACAAAACGTCTGCTCTTATTTTGCAAGGAGGACAGTTCAGTGTTTTCTTATTNCATGGTGTGTACAGTACGACTCCACCACATCAGTGTTTGTAGCTGAACTTTGCTTCAGTAGGAGTGATGTGAACGTTAAGAGGTGGGCTGGACTTATATTTATGCGCCTGCTCAGACTGACACTGTCAATGCTGTGAGGAAAATGGTATTACTATTTCTACAAGGAGAACAATTCAGTATTTTCATCTATGGTAATACTCTGCATAATGGAGGTAATGTTTCAGCAACAGCTCAGACGACTGCAAACTAACTGCAGCAGTCTGTGTCAGTCTAGACAATGTAAGGAAGTGTAATCTTTGATGTTTTCATTTAACTATTCAATGAGTTGTCAAATAGAGGTTTTAAAAAAACGTGAATGTTTTCATTAAACTAGTTGACACACATTATTGCATAGAGGTTTAATTCTTGTGTCTACATTTTATAGACATGTTTGTGATGATACAGATTGTTCTGATATAGTAGTTTAGGCTGTTGACTCATTTCATAACTGATAACAGCCTGTCACAGGGTATTTAGCGGATATTTTATGAGATTATTCAAGACAAAACTATGTTTTTGTTTGTATGTTATAGTCCTACATTAGGGCAAACAGTATCTTTTGAGTCGTTCTTTGTAAGGCTTACTATGTTTACATGCATATCACTGTGAACACATATTGACTTTCACCTGCTGGGGTTCTGGTGTGTTCTGTCAGATCTTAAGTCGATACCTCTGGCAGAGTGGATGCTTTGATATGAGGCTGTGAAGTGTCACCTTGTTAAAGGCATATTCGACAGACGAGAGTTTTGCAAGAACTAGGTCTCTTCAGTATGACTATTTATGTTGTGTGTTTTGAGTTTGTACAGATCCTGTAAATACTGATGCAAGTTTGATGAATGGTTTTGAAATTTAGTTCTGGTCAGTCTTGATAATGTTCAATTAGATTATGATTAGAATATCCTCCAAAGGTAGACAATTTGCATTCTTGTAAATAGTTGTGCCTGATGTTACTCACATTCTAATTTTTGATTTAAAAGAAAGGTCATTTGCAGACTGCGCCCCACCACCAAAAAATGTCACCAGCTGCCACTGGGTTGTGTCGCTGTACTCCAACAGCTGAAATCTGTTGTGGTGACATGAAAGGAACCTTCACAATATTAGCCAA